ACACAGCCTCCCACACACATATGTACACCATTCAAGCATGCATAGTAACACACACAAACGCACACATGCACACTAAACATGGAAGGAATATGTGTCACATGTGAATGGTGACACACATCAAAGAAAGGAGTGGGCTGGATTTATGAAAAACAACAGCAGCTAAACACACAAACATGAAGTAAATGGGAATCAAGGGAGTGGGTGGGCAGATGGCTTCAGTGGTGACAAGAAAGATGAGATTACTCCAAAATAATATTGGGGGAAGAGAGAAAAGAAAGGAGAAGAAAACAGGAATGCTTCGTGCTCCTGGGGACAGGCGTAAAGAAAAAAATATTCCTCTCTTGACATAGCTGGCAGTGCCCGCTGGATTCTCGGTGATGCCACGGCAGCCTCATGCAGCTGCAGCCTGCCCTGCTCTGTTTTCAGCTAATAGCCAGGAGCAGCACTGTAAGCACGACACAGCAGCCTCCCCCCTCCTTCAGATTCAAGCCATGCCTGATGGAGAGCCTGACACAAAGCTCCAAGATGAAAAAAAAAAAAAAAGTGTTATTCATATTGGTGAGGCTCGGCTAATCTGGCTGTGAGGAGGTGCTGTGTTTAATAGGAAACAAAATGGAGAGGAAGATTGTTGAGGGCCAGAGAGAGGGCAGCTGAGAGAGATTATGAGTAGGTGGGTCTGAACACTATGAGTCATAAAGGTCTGAGCAGGCTAAAAGGGGGCATATTACAGGGCGAGTATGTGAGTAATTCCTGATCTCATTAAGATTTATGTAAGGCTGGTTTTCACATATATTACTCACCTTTGCTTGAGCCAGAAAAAAGAGCTTCACAACAAAAACAGACATGTAACATAACATATATAATTTATAATTGTGCAGAGCCACATGCTTGACAGAACAGTGGTGGAAAAAAAACCCCAGAACAATAGCAAAGCAGGGAAATTTTCTAGAGTTGGCATCTGTCTGAAATGGAAAATATAGGCTTGAGTCTAGCCTAGACTACCAGGCAATACACACCATGTGACTGGGATTTGTCACATCGGCCAATTCTGGGGGAGGGTCGAACGAATTCGGATGCAGTAGCCCATTGTAAAAATAATAATAATAATAATAATAAAATAGTCCTCTCATATATGTAGTGTGGATGATCATCAATGGGAAAATACTGGTTCTGTTGGGACTCTTTGGGCTCGGTTCACCTATTCTGCTCGGTGGTGTTTTCAGCACCGAGGGGCAGTGGACAGCTCCGCACTGATGCGATATTACAGCAGCCTCCCTCCGGGATCCTAACGGCAAAGTGCCTCTTCTCCCATCAACACGGAGATCAATCAAGACCAGGAAAATGAGCATAGATCTAGCTGTAAACCACTAACCAGATGCCGATATCCCAGCCTTCGTGACAGCGTACCATCGTGACCATGGCAACAAAGGAAACAGTAACTTATCAGCCCAGTTTTCACGCAGACAAACTGGGCTTGACCCACCACGTTTGGCGAGGATCTGGCATGAAGCGCATCCATTCCTCACCCTTCTCAAAATGCATTAACAACAACTGCATTTTAAATGAGTAGCCCGAGGCTGCCAAGTTCACACAACATTTCACTGCAGCCGACAATCAAGGCGGAGTCTGGTCGGAGCAATAGCAGCCAATCGTCCATAGGGATAATTGGCTTCCCTGCTATACGCCGCATATCACATGCATAGGTGGAATAAAAGCCCGTCTATGTGGAGAAATCTTCCCCGCTCATCTGCATGACTCACTGAGTGCTTACCGTCCACCAAGGTGTAGCTCAGCACCGTGGGTACCGTCAGAGCTGCACAATGAAAGCCCTAAGTCATGCTGATGCGTGGGAACTGTCACTAAACGATGAAGCAATTTCTCTCACAGCGAGAACCGATTCACTACAATATTCCCCTGTGGAGGCTGTCCAGACATGCCGAGGAGAGCATCCGTATTGCTGGCGAGCTGCCTACCTGTCTCCAGGTGCAGAGAGATTCTCGCCTCGTTGATGTAAGGCGTGTCACTCTTAGACCGGACCCTCCGGATCGGTCTGCGGTCTACCTCCTCCTCCGGGGCCGCCGCCATGTTCGGCCAGCCGGGCAGCGTCCACTGGCGACCGGCGGGACTGCGAGAGAATCGGCGCCGCAGCAGCAGCAGCAGCAGCAGCAGCCACTCGTGCACCCGCCCGGGCAGACGGTGTAGGAGGGGGGCGGGCTATTGTAATGGTGATGGAGGGGAGGAGGGGAGACAGGGGGGAGAGGAGATGGGAGGCTTCATGAGCTTCTGCTCCTTTCTTTCCTGTAAGTCAGCTCCACCTGCTTAAGTTCCAACTCCACGTTGACAAAACACTGACCAATGAAAAGCAATAGACCACAGTGACCTCAAACACATCATTTTCACTGTCCTATGTGGCTCACACAGAGATGAAATGATCAGTGAACCTACTCCAACGTCAAATTAATCAAAAACAATTTTGGTAAGTGATGTTATTAATCATGCAAAAATGCCAACCATTGTCAAGTCCCAGCCTCTGAAATGGTAGGATTTGCAGCATTTCAGAAAAATTCTCTCTCTCTCTCTCTCTCTCTCTCTCTCTCTCTCTCTCTCTCTCTCTCTCTCTCTCTATATATATATATATATATATATATATATATATATATATATGTGTGTGTGTGTGTGTGTGTGTGTGTGTGTGTGAGAGAGAGAGAGAGAGAGAGAGAGAGAGAGAGAGAGAGAGAGAGAGAGAGACTTTGTGTGTGTTAATTGGAACAACAATAAATTAATCAATTGGTGGATCAATACAAAAGGTTAATAGCAGACTATCTTAGATAAAATGAATAATTCATAATGAAAAACAAGTATTCCTAGCTTCTCAAACACATACATCATCTGTTTTTTTTCTTTGACTTAGTCATGTTAAGTGAAGTCTACTTTATTGTAATCCCAACTGTACACACCAGGTATACAGTGGAATACAAACCTCTTCACACCAATACAAGACAATAACTGTGACAGTACAAAATACACCATTATAAGACCATTAAGACAGAACATGTTTGTATGGAAAACAATAAAGTAAGCAAAATTGCTTAGTACTATATAAATAACTGATAATTGCAATAAATAAAAGTAAAAAGAAATAGTAACTAGTGTTTGTGAACTTACAGTTTGAAGCTATGAAGTCGCGTCTTCAGGTTCTTGAAAACCCTTTATGACATTTTATATGTAGGTTTCTCAGTTAATCAGACAGATAACAGCCCAATTAATTGATGATGAAAATACATGATTAGGTGATCTAAACTAATGAAAGTAATCAGTAACTGCTGCTATATTTTACAGCTTCAATGGTCTAAATTCTGAATGATGTTTAGGACAAGATGCATACCTTAAGGCATCTTAATGCAAAAGCTATAGGACAACAAAAATGTATATGTAGTGGAATGAAAATGCATACCTCCTCACACCAATGCAAGATATAACATAACAGTACAAACATATCACTGCAATCACTTTTTTAATGTTGTAGCAAAACCAAACACGACAACAAAATAAAGTCAAGACTTAATATTATACATGATTTTTGGTCTAATGGGCATCTTTACAATGAGGACAAAACCCCATAGCACTGGAAATTAAATGCTCACTTATCTCCCATGGAGCAAAAATAGTATGCAATATATATACACTTTCTATTCTTCGTGTATGCACCTCTCAATCAGATTGCAACATATGAACCAGGGATCATACATGGATCTGTCAGATAAGCTTTCTTATACCACTCGTAAAAAAGCTTGCATTTTAGTTTAACAGCACCTACAAGACTGGTCAATGGGACACAGGCATCATATGCTTACCCCTTTCTATGTACCGAATTTGTGGCATGATATGTGACTGGAATGCTATAACACTGCAGTATCAGATATTAATTTGGGATTAATAAATACTCAATCTGTCTGTCTGGTTCAGTTCAAACACGATTTTCAGTGTTAAACATCATTGTGTATTTTTATTTGGGCTGTGCTTTATGCTCAACTGATCCAGTGCTGGCCTCTAGTGGAAATAATTATGAATGAATTTTAGTAAGTTCACAGTTATTGCAGGAACAAGCTGGGTCTCTGCACTGCTGACATTTATTGACATTTATATTATTTTTTTTTCTTAGTTTCCCACCAATTAACACAGCCTCGACTGAAAAAAAAGAAACAGAGAATTATTTATCTGAGTAATAGTTGTGGTAATTTAGGTTTTTGGCAAAACTGACCCATTAATCATTATTAGTTCATGAGCTTCCAAATCCCAGCTGGCAGTAACAACAGTGTTTGCTACAGGTCTGATGGTGCCGCGGTCTACAACCACTAACATGTAAATAATGTTATTGTCAATGCAAAGAGAGAAATGAATATTCAAGACCTTTGCCTCTTAATTTTAAGACAATTTTATTTCTTTTTTTGGGAAGAGAACTGCCTTCAATGCTTAACTAAGGCGTTCCAAGGCTTGCACAAAAGAGGGACAACAGTACCTGCTTACAAAAAGCAGTGTGTAGTGAGGCTCACATTTCAGATGTCTACTAGTTGTTCACAGCACCACTAAATAGTGACTTTTCTGAATACTTCTTCCACCACTAAACAGCAATGAAAAGTTACTTTGGACTTTCTTTTACAGGCAGCTGTGGACAAAACTAGCTGAATAAGGCAGCCAATATAACAGGTCAAATGTTTGGAAATATTCTACTGTTCAACTTACCAATCGAGGGCTGTTAAGGGTGATATAATTTTAAATCATTTCACAATCAAGTGATTACGAACTCACCTCTGTTGCATGTTGTATAGTGCTGTAAAAAGATAAGGGTAGCACAAATGCTCCCTCTGCTGGTCATTACATTTTCAGGGCGCTGTTATTTACCTCGCAGTCCTCCTTGATTGGCTCATATCGTCATCGTTCAGCCTGTCCACCGCAGCTACCGAGCTGCTGAAGGAAAAAAAACCCACACCGCCTCAGTTCCTGTGTGCCACAGCTGATGGTCCTGACCTCGGTCTGACAGGTAGTCAGCGTTAGCAAATCTCCGAGCCAACTCATCCCGGGAATATACAACCACTGGAGTCTTAGCTGCCTTGACAATCTAACGACATGCTAGCTGTCAATAGCCGTTTCCTTGGTTACCAGCGCACTCTTATTAGCATGCTAAGTTCCAGGTTGTTAGCTTAGCTAGCTAGCCAACATACCTGATTACTGGCTAACAGGTTCAGTTAACAGCGCTCGAGGTCTTTTATAAGCCTGTTAATTAGATATAAACTGCCGTACCATTACTGTATTACTGAAGGAACTCACTTACTTAAGAACATAGGTTGACTTTTGTGCTAATGTCCCAATGAACGAATGCAGTTAACGAAGTAGTAGGCTAGCTTTGTGGTTATTTATGATAACTCATATGACCTCTGAGTTTTATAAAGCTACAGTGACCTTCCCGTGAACAGAAAACCCCAGCATGTACCATACCCTGTAGCTTAGTTTAGGGATTTCGACAGGCATAAGCTTTGTTTTGTGACTAATAAATGCAAAGTAAACTTTGTGGAAGCCCTTCATAATATTTGTGTTTTAAAGGCACTTCCTCATGGACCAGAGACTGTGTTTGGCTGGAGCAAAAATATTCAGTCTGCTGCCCAACTAAGCCATTTTCTGATGGTCCCTACTTTTTTTTTTATTCATTCAAACAAGAATTGATATATCAGTGATTTTTCCTGTCTCGTTTTGTGTAAGTTTGGCTTGTCATCGCTGGAAGAAAACACTTCAATATGCAATAACCTCAAATATATTATTAGCAATGTAACACCAACTGAATTGTTAGTCAGCTGTGAATAGTGAATAGAGTCCTATCTTTCTTGTCTAGTTGCCAACACCTGATGATTGTGCGCCAGTTCGTCTGTAGAGCCTTTATAAATGCTCACCTGTATGCCCACCTGAGAAGGCCCCAGATCAGCCAAACCATGGCTAGACCCAGCTCAGGTAGGCTTTGTAGTTTGCACTTACCGTTAAAAATCCATGAGCATCCATTTTTGTTGCATCTGGGCACCATGTTGTGTTTATTTTCAGACTTGGCAGCATTCAGAGAGATTTTCTCCAAGGCCAACAATATTGCCATCATCACTGGAGCAGGGGTGAGCGCTGAGAGTGGAGTCCCCACCTTCAGAGGAGCAGGAGGCTACTGGAGAAAATGGCAAGCACAGGTAGGGCACTTACAGTTGTTGGTCCAGTGAGAAGATTTGCAACTTTGTGAGTTTTTTGGAATGCTCCATGTCTGTTTTTATATTAGTAAGATTGCACTCAAAGCTTCTATCTTTTAAAATATTTCAGTTGGGGTGAAGAGGGCAGCATTGGTCATGTTTTAGGTTTATCATTTTGTCTTTCTTCAGAATTTTTACATGCAAGAAAAGCTGTAAGTATATTAAAAATGTTATTCTACAATTCAAATTTATTCAGGAACTGGCCACCCCAGAGGCTTTCTCCAGAAATCCTTCACGTGTGTGGGAGTTTTACCACTATCGCCGTGAAGTTATGCTAACAAAAAATCCCAATCCTGCCCACCTGGCCATTGCTGAGTGTGAGGAGCGTCTCAGCAAACAAGGTCGTAAGGTTACTGTCATCACCCAGAACATTGACGAGCTCCATCGCCGAGCTGGATCGAAAAATGTCCTGGAAATCCATGGTGAGCAAATAAATAAAGTAGTCTGATGCTAGAATGTGTCCATCTGCAACTCAAATTAGAATATAATTTAAGAAAATCACCAAATATTCTCTGTTCCAGCCTCTAAGTTTTGTCTTAAACCAAATATCTTTGGATTTTGAACTGTTGTTGTTTCTACAAAACAGGATATTTGATGACATCACATTTGGGCTAAGGAAATTGCAAGGGTTATTTTTCACTGCAGCATCTTCACTCTCACTGGAAGTTTTAACCTTTTTATTGCTTTTCAACATTGAATCATGGTTCATTTAATTTGAATTTTTGGACAAGAATTTACAATAGCCATAGTCTGCAAGTCACAGTTCTCTCTCAGACTGTATCAGATTGTCTTCCAGGATTTCTTTATACTTTGCTGCATTCATTTTACCCTCTGCCTTTACAAGTATTCAAGGGCCTGTTGCTGCGAAGCATCCCCACAATATGCTTCATGGTGGGGATGGTGCGTTTGTGATGATATGCAGCATTTGTTTACCTCCAAACATAACGTCTTGTCTTCTGTGGGGCAAAGAACCTTCTTCTAGTTGGCTTCAAAATATCCCACATGCCTTCTGGCCAATTGTAGTGGAGATTTTTTAACAGTGGCTTTTTCTTTGGGCAGGGCACCAAGTGGTATACGGTATACGGTATGTGGTATATGGTATACGATCTCTCCCATCTCAGCCACTAAATTTTGTAACTCTTTCTAAAGTATCATAGTGTCTTGGTGGCCTCCTCAACTAGGGTCTGTCTTACACTGAGTTTTTAAGGACAGCCTGTTCTAGGCAGATTTACGCATGGGCCACATTTCTTTCATTTCTGAATGATGGATTTAACTGTACTCCAAGAGATATTCAGTCAGGTCCATAAATATTTGGACATTGACACAATTTTCAGCATTTCTGCTCTGTACACCACCACAATGGATTTGAAATGAAACAATCAAGATGTGCTTTAAGTGTAGACTTGCAGCTTTAATTTGAGGTCGTTTACATCCAAATCAGGTGAACGGTGTAGGAATTACAACACATTTTATATGTGCCCTCTCCACCAAAGTAATTGGGCAACTTAACATAATCAGCAATCAAATTGTCACTTTTAGTATTTGGTTGTGAATCCTTTGCAGTCAATGACAGCCTGAAGTTTCGAACCCATAGACATCAGCAGACGCTGGGTTTCGTCCCTGCTGATGCTCTGCCAGGCCTCTACTGTTGCTGTCTTTAGTTCTTGCTTGTTTTTGGGGCACTTTCCTTTTAAATGCATGCTCAGTTGGAGTCAGGTCTGGTGATTGACTTGGCCATTGCAGAACATTCCACTTCTTTGCCTTAAAAAACTGTTTGGTTGCTTTCGCAGTATGCTTCAGGTCATTGTCCATCTGCAATGCAAAGCACCATCCATTGAGTTCTGAAGCATTTGGCTGAATATTAGCAGATAATATTGCCTGAAAGACTTCAGAATTCATCCCGCTGCTCTTGTCAGCAGTTACATCATCATAAATATAAGAGACCCAGTTCCATGGCCAACTGTTGTGAAGGAGTTTTTCTTGACCAGGGAAAGGATTCTTCTGTCATCCACCACACTTGTTTTCTGTGGTCTTCCGGGTCTTTTGGTGTTGCTGAGCTCACCAGTGCATTCTTTCTTTTAAAGAATGTACCAAACTGTTGATTTGGCAACCTAATGATTTTGCTCTCTCTCTGATGGGTTTGTTTTGATTTTTTAGCCTAATGATGGCTTGCTTCACTGATAGTGACAGCTCTTTGGACTTCATTTTGAGAGTTGACCTCACCAGATTCCAAATGCAAATGCCACATTTGAAATGAACTCTAGACCTTTTATCTGTTCTGTGTAAATGAAATGATGACAGAATAACACACATCTGGCCATGAATCAGCTGAGCAGCCGATTTACTAATTACTTTTGGTCCCTTAGAAAGGTGGAGGGCACATATAAAATGTGTGTTGTTTCATTTCAAATCCATTGTGGTGGTGTACAGAGCTGAAATGCTGAAAATTGTGTCAATGTCCAAATGTTAATGGGCCTGACTGTATGCCAGTGTGCTTTTCAGTAACCCTTATACAGATTTCTTTGGAGTGTCCTTTTGTCTTCATGGTGTAGTTATAGTCAGGAGTACTGATTCACCAGTGACTGGACCTTTCAGATACAGACACTGCATATTCCTTTGACACATTCACTGCACTCAGATGATCTCCATTTCATAAGTTGTGTGACTTGTAGCACCGATTGACTACACCTGTGTTGAATTAGGTGAATCACTTTAAAGGGATGAATACTTATGTAATCAATTATTTTACTTTTCATATTTTAATTTATTGACATGACTGTGTAGGAATTTCTTTACACTTCGAGACAAAACAGTTTTTTGTAAATTCTTGTCCAAAAAGCCAAATTAAATTGACCATGATTCAACATTGAAAAGCAGTAAAAGGGGAAAACCTTTAAGGAGGGTGAATACTTTTCATCAGTACTATACTCTGACATTTTACTCTTACATCTCTACTATCTGCCCCTCTCCTTTGGGGCTAAACCTGATTATTTCCATTGCCACTTGGTACTGATTACTACTGGACAAATTGTTAAATTTTTTGATTCCTATTGTATCTCTTGTGTCATTTTTGTAAATGCAGGTAGTCTGTTTAGAACACGCTGCATGAGTTGTGGTCATGAAGCATCCAATTACAAGAGCCCCATTTGTTCTGCTCTGGAGGGCAAAGGGTAAGAGCTTCATGTGGCATTGTTAGGTAAATTTGTCTATTTTCCTTCAGCAGTATGACAACGTGTTACAAGAGATATTGATCGCAGTCATTTGAGCTCAAAATGCCAGAGATAACAGGCTGTTTCAGTCAGTCAAATGTCAGGGAGCTAAATAACACCTGATGACAGAGTGAAAAGGAAAAATGTCACTTTAAAAGCCGTTTAGTCACTTACCTGACATTTATAATGGATGTTTTTGATAGCTGACAAGTGTTCCAGTGTTGGGTTCCATCTCAGCTCAAGAATAAATGAAAGAAATCCATCCATCCATTATCTATACGCTGCTTAATCCTCACTAGGGTCGCAGGGGGCTGGAGCCTATCCCAGCCGATTTAGGGCGAAGGCAGGGGACACCCTGGACAGGTCACCAGTCTATCACAGGGCCACACTTAGAGACAGACAACCAAGCACACTCACATTCACACCTACAGACAATTTAGAATCACCAATTAACCTCAACATGTTTTTGGACTGTGGGAGGAAGCCGGAGAACCTGGAGAGAACTCACGCTGCACGGGAAGAAGATGCAAACTCCACACAGAAAGATTCCAGGTGTCCTCACTGGAACGCGAACCAGTGACCTTCTAGCTGTGAGGCAACGGTGCTAACCACTGCACCACCTTGCAGCCCAATGAAAGAAATCATAAGCTGAAATTGAAACCGAATACCAGAACAAATCAAGTCATGTTAAAATGTATCTGTACTAACTGTGATGTTATGTAATTCCAATTAATTTCTGGTCATTTTATATTCCCTTTGCTCTCCAGTCATACAGGAGTTGCTAAAGTTTTAGTATTTTTCTTTACAAGACTGAAAAAAATGAAGAACAAAAGAAATTACCTAAAACATTTTGGAGGTGTCACTTTCAGATGACCTTTCTTATTGGTCAGTAGTTGTATTTTTGTAGCGTATTTTAATGTTTCAGCTGTGGCTGGAGGTATTATGGTTTTGGGTGATCTGCATGTCTGTCTGCTGCGATAGACTGGCGACCTGTCCAGGGTGTCCCCTGCCTTCGCCCTGAGTCGGCTGGGATAGACTCCAGCCCCCCCGCGACCCTAGTGAGGATTAAGCGGTGTATAGATAATGGATGGATGGATGCATGTCTGTCTGTCCCATAATGATGAATGCGATATCTCTTGATTGCCTGGGGCTAATTCATTTACTTGGTCTCATGAATTAACTGATTTGGTGATTAAACTGGGACCTCAGAAAATACATTTTTTGGGGGCATTTTAGAATGCATACGCTAATTTGGACAAAATGTCACAAAATCCAATGATGCAATGATGAAGTGATGACATTTTTTATCCAGATGGTCAAAGGTTGAGCCTTGATAAACATGACAGACACGCTTGACTGGACTCACAGATCCAGTCTCACAAAGTTGCCCCGATAATATCAAGCATGTTTGATATTTCTGAATTAAAATCGGGATGGGTACAATTATTACGCTAGCACCTGGAGCAGCAGATGCTGTTGCTAATCAACGCTAGTCACTCGGGGGTTAACGTTGGCAACAGATATTAAAACTTGAAGTCTTTCCTCCAGTTCTTCCTGAAGAATAGATAGACTTTGTTGACTGCATCTATCCAACCATTTTCTTTTCCAAATTTGTTTAGCCTTATGCTTTTTTTTTCTCCTCACTGTAAAGCATTACTTGTGTTTCAGATGTTGCACCACAGTCTCCATTTTGTTTTGCATCTGTGTCCCCATGAGGTTACATAAGGTGGTGCGCTGCTCCCTGATTGCGTCCTCTGGCATGATTATCTTAAAATTATCCTGTGGTTTGTGACATGCCATTGTTTTCAAATCATGTAGTGTGTGCATATCTGAGATTAGAGAGATATCAAAATCTGTTAGGGTTTTCAAACTCCTGTAGTCTGAGGCCATCCTAAGGAAAGATGAAAGACAACAGCTTTCAAGTATGGTCAGGGGATACAAGAGCATCTCCAAACAGCCTGATGTTAGGAAGTTTGATGTCAGGTAGCAAACCACCATTGACATGCCTTCAAAAGGAAAAGTGACCCAGGATTGAATAGAGGGATAGTTTAAATGGTTCAAAAAGATGAAGGTACAACAATGCCTGGGCACGCCATACATCACTTTCTGGATGAAAGTAAACTTGAAAGAAGACTCAGGAAGACCCCACTTTTAAAAGAGAGACATAGAAAAGCCAGACTCTGCTAAAATGCACGTTGACAGTTCGGTGTTTACAGGAGAATGTCCTTTGGACAGATGAAACCAAATGAGAGCTTTATATAAAGTCACATCAGTATACTGCGCAGTGTCAGTCTCTCACATAGAGGTCATGGCTCCTCTAACACGATAATGACCCAAAGCAGACATCTAAATCAGCCAAGAATGGATGAGAAGGAAACTTTGGCTCTTTCTGGAGTGGCTGTTTCAAGGCTTGACCTTAATCCAACTGAACATCTATAGGAAAAAATGAAACTAGCTGGTGGTAGAGGGCAGCCCTAAAACCCAAAAGAAGAGTCAAAATTCCAACTAAAACATGCTTGGGTCTACTACAAAATATTAGGTTATGGTTACAATATTTTTGTCCATGGAATTTTCATTTGTAGCATTTCTGCTCTACTAAATGGAGATAAGAGAATACTATTTGTAAGTGACTTTTTAGTGGCACCTAACATCTTAGAGATGCCAACTGTCTCCTCAGAGCTCCAGACCCAAACACGAATGACGCCCACATCCCAGTCCAGCAGCTGCCCAGGTAGGATGCACTCGTGCTCTCTTTTAGCACTCTTCTCTTTTCAAATGAGGTTATTTGTTTTGACAAAGTGTATGTGTGTATGTGTGTGTGTGTGTGTGTGTGTGTGTGTGTGTGTGTTTCAGGTGTGAGCAGACAGGCTGTCACGGCCTCCTGAGACCAGCTGTGGTTTGGTTTGGAGAGACTCTGGATGCCGACATCCTCACCAGTGCAGAGGAAGTGTTAGACAGCTGTGACCTCTGTCTCGTGGTACGTACATGTGTACACATGACGGAAAAAATTCACAAGCCAAACATGTGAAATACGTGAATACTACTGCCAAATTCACACATGTTCTTGCCAATTTAATTTCCCCATCCAGTAATAACTATAAAATGTTCGATAAATCTCATTATTTTTAAACTAATACTTTGAGAGTGTGCTGAGAGAGACAATCAATAGAGATTCCTAAAGGACTGAGTTAACAGTGCATCTGTTCAGCCACCGTACTCGGCACAGTCTGAGTTTCAAACCTGTGAAAGAGTAATAAAGCCAACATGAGAAGCTGTTAAAACTGCCATGGTACCTGAAGGAATATCCAAGTTTTAGTTGTTAAATTTAGTATTGTATAAAAATCTTTCATTGACAACAACACTCTTGTATTAGGTGAATGGTAATATAACATACAGTGCACAACAGAAGTGAGTGCAATACCACTTAAATGTCAAATGATTCAAGATTGTATCACCTTACAGACTATTTTCATTAAGATTTAAGTCATTTATTATTATTATTCATTTATTCAGCATCATTTGTGACTCTGATTAGTTGTACTATGACTTGTTCTATACCTCCTGATTACTGCTGCAACTGTGTTTCAACTGATTTCTAGTTGTAGCAGTAGTAATAGTAGTAGCAATAGTAGTAGTAGTAGTCATGAATCTTCCTCTATCCACTTATGTCTCACATCCAGATTTTTTAATTCCCCTGGCAATCCTTTTCTATGTGGAGATATGATGCAGGCATGCAGATAGACACAACCCATGAGTCCAAAATGGAGAAAGTTTCTACCAGTTAGGTTAATTGGAAATCACAGGTGTACTCAGTTTTGTTTCATTGATCACAGATTTGGTTTTCTAATTTGTGTGTCAATGATCACAGATGTATTCACTTTTTTTTTGCATTGAGTTTTTACTGTGGAGCCTATGTTTCAATTTGGAATCATTTCACATTTAGATAATATTTCACAGGTGTTGTATTGTAGATGTTTTTGATGTTCTTGTTGAAAATAAAAGACTGACAGCATTATAATATCAAGATCGTGCCCTCAACACTTACCTTTATTAATCTTGTCATGCTTTTAAATGTTAATTATAATCCCACTCAACAGGTTGGTACTTCATCAGTCGTGTATCCTGCAGCCATGTTTGCTCCTCAGGTAGCAGCCGGAGGCGTCCCTGTGGCAGAATTCAACATGGAAGACACACCGGCCACGATGCGTTTTAAGTATGCTTTATTTGCTATCACAAAATCACACATGCATGATTTCGCATTCACTGATGTGCGCCTGGAGATAGCTGCCTTTTTTTGTTTCAGGTTCCACTTCCATGGCCCCTGTGGGACCACCTTACCCCCTGCACTGGCACGCCACGAGACTGAACAGAACTGAAAAACAGTCAACAGACCGTTGAACACTGGAAGACTTAAGTGCTACAAGTACTAAGAATAATGAGTTCAGTATAACATACACATACATAACATGAATGAAGAGACATGGCCAACAAATACTAAAGTAAAAGGGAACCTGTTTGTTTTAATCTGTCACACAGATAAGACATGCACTTGAAAGAGTAAATATCCATATGTTATAAATAGTTGCACAGAATTTCAGGCAACTTACTGAAAGAGTGGCTTCTAGATGACCATCTTTTTTTTTGCAATAAAATACTGTATCGTGAGAGTTGTAATAAATATTGCTGTGATGTCAAATCTATATTATAGGAACGGTAATTGGGAAACTGCTATTTATTAAAGTATGAAGTTGAACAAGACATTGGAGACAATGAAAAGCAATAACTATTGAATAAATATTACCACCAACTTCATCAATCCCTTTGCAGTGAATATTTGACGATTGTCTGACAGTAGGGGGCAGTGTTTAGCTGCTGCTGTGGAGTCAGCTGCCTTCCAGTGTGGAGAAAAGACTGCCTCCTTCCCAAGGATGTGTGAGCTCTGCCTGGGATGTGTGGTGTTTGTGTATGTCGATGCAGTGTTGCCTGAATTTATGGACTGTGATGAATACTGTGTATGATGCCTTCCAGTGCCTGTGAGTAAGCTCTAGCTAAACCAGGGAGAGCAGTGACTGTGCATTCCCTCAGCCAGTCGTGAGAACAGGGCTTCCATATGTATCCTTCTGAAGGATTTGTTACATGTATGTTAATGTTCTGACATGATTAGAACAGCGTGTTGATAGAAAATGAAGTCTGCTGAAATAAATGTGAGCTCACAAACTGAAGAGTGTCTCTTCCTCAGAATGTGTGCATGCATGTGTGTATCTAACATACTGCTAAGTTGCAAATAATGCAGCAGCCCGAACCACAAATGTTCAGTGAGTTTAGTACAGCAGTGTGAGTAAAGATTCTCAGTGATAAGCAATGTTCTGCTTTCTTAGAACGACCCAAAGATGAGATTGTGCCTGACACTTTGCCACAACCAACCCCCCCATACTTGTACATACTACACTGATCGAGTCCAGTGCTGCATTTCTGTGTATTACTGCTTAGTTTATTGTAATGGGGATAGCTCAGCTCTTTTGAAAGCCCCCACCCATGCCATTGCTAAGGAGCTATCAATATGCATATGCTTGTGATTTAAGACCTATAAATTAATGAATAAGTTGCCCTCAAATTTTGTATTTTTTTGTGGGAAAAAACACAGAAATAATATTACAATTTTTTAACCAATAAGCTACCAGGTTTGACAGGCGGACTGTACAGGACACAGTTTACTCTAATAGCATCTTAAAGAAAAGGATTACAGTTTTTTAAAATTATCTTCAGACAATAGTCAGGTGTCATAAACACTGATTCAGCTTGCTGTAATCATCCCTCTTCTTGTTACGGGCTATAAACGTGAAAAAAGCCAAAATCTGCAGTCCATTTCCAGTGTAACGTTACATTCTACAATTCAGGAGAAGATAATATAAAGCTTCAGCAGATTGAGCCAGACAAATCAAATGCATCTTCCAAAGTTACAGTTTATTTAGGACAAACTTCTCTCTGTTTCCTTCTCCAGTGCTCCCCTGCAGAGCTGCAACGGAGGGAAAGCAGCACAAAGGCATTTTGGTACTAAAAACACAGCAACATTGGACAGTTTCCACTATATTTAGCCAACTCAGACTGCTAAAACTTACTGCTAAATAACATACTTTTACACCAAATAAGGACTGTGGATTGTGTAAGCATGTTGGGCCACCAATACTCCAATGAGCCACAAGATTAAAATCACCTGTTTTAATGTTGCAAAAACAGCTCTGACCTGTTGGTTCATGTTCACAGGACCTCTGGGGGTGTAATGTGATATCTGGCATCATGGCACTGGCAGAGGATCCTTTGGGTCCTGTGGGTTGCGAGGTGGGGCCTTCATGGATCAGGCTTATTCTGGTGTACATGCTTGATTAAAATGAGATGTGGGGAGTTTGGAAGCCTTGCCTCTTAGCTGTGTTGCGAAAGAAGTTCCTGAGCAGTTTTTGCAGTGTGGCAGTGTGCGTCAGGCAGAGGTGTTTTGGCAGCAGGAGGGGGATCTACGTGGTATTAGTCAGGTGGTTTTAATGTTGTGGCAGATGAAGGAATGCTGCTGAAATAGAGCATCATCATTATCTTCTGCCACTTCAAGAAGCAACACAAATCCAAACTTCACCAGTCCTACTAAAAAAAAGGAAATAAGGTCTTTGCAGATAGGTTCAAATTTTTCAAGCATGTTTAAAAACAATAATCACATACTAGTGTATATATCAAATTAGTTATTGACTGAGCTTATTTAAAAATGAATGCTCAAGTTTTGCCAAAATCAATATAATGTGAAAGCAATCTGAATATATGAAGTGTTATAACATTTTTACAGCTACTAAAACACTGTCTTAACTTATAAAAAAGACAAAAGGGATTTTTTTTTTTGCATTTCCTATTGACCATAATATTAGGAATACCCAATATGATTTGATATGACAAAGTGAGACTGTTTAACTTTAAAATGCATTCTTGCACAGAACGACAGTCGATTTAGTTACCGATTACCTGGAGTCAAGGCCTGGAATCACATAACTCCTATTGTGCATTATAACAAGTGGTGTTTTAAGAAAGACAGGAAAAAAAAAAAATAGAAATCTGTACTTTAACAACAATTCCAGGGTATTGCCTCTTGTGTTACAGAATTATTGTAACAACTCCCGTTTTATGTTGATCATAGTGTTAAATATTTGCATTGTGGGGATACATCAGACATAAAAAGCTGGGAACTCCTGTTCTGTAGGTTTTCAGGCAAAGATGGGCTTGTGCCTGACACTTCACTGTTTGGCAAAAAACAACCCAACCGCCTTGACTTTCATATTCCAGCATAAACACAAATTGTACTCAGGCCAACTCTGTCAGCAGACGTTATTAATATTTGGGTAATCCAATGGTGAGTTCAGATGATCTACAAGACATCTCCTCACACCATTTCACTCATTCCTCCTCTGCTTTCACTCGGCAACCTGTCTCAGTGCTGTTTTCCCTCTCCACGCTCATCTGTACATCTGCCATGTGTGTGGCTTTTGAGACGCCAGGCATCCCTCCCTCCCTTCCCAGCTACGCCTCCATCACCTGCTCATTAGAGAGAGGATGATGGTCCGACGGTCCCCCATGACTCTGCTCCAAAAATAACAGAGCCAATTTCCCGCCTGTTAGGTGGCGATTTCACACCAATCTGAATGTACTGCCCAGCTAGGCCTGTCAGAGAGAGAGAGGGAGGCTATGAGACAGAAAGAAATAAGATGGAAAAGAAAAGAAATGCAAGGAAAGGAAAAATATAGGTCAGACTGTAATGTGCCTGAAAATAAGTTCTTCATCCTATAAACACACCACCTTCGTCAACTGCTAGATTTTCTCATGAACTGCACTACTCTGAACAAGTTTTTTAGGGACATTTTGAAGGTTAGTGCTCTGTGTTACAATATGTGGTCATTTGTGAGCTGTTGGACTGATTCTTTGACTTGAGATGGAGCCAAGCTGGCAGCTGACTGAGCAGTTGATGGGTGGCATCAATCTTTTCACACTGTCCACAAGAAAGCGGGTCTTTCATAAAATGTGGTACTATTCTTTGACTCTTGTTGCTGGTAGCTTTCTTGTTGAATGGACTGTGCCATAATTTAGATATTGTGCTCATTTAATCCTATTTCTAAATTCATATATATTCTTACTTTGCATATTAAGATTTTACATTTCACATCCACAAAAGCATTATTACCATATATCTACACGTGTATCTCTCTCTTTCTCCCCATTTTCTCCACTGACAGTATGACTGGATTCCCTATAAAGAGCTTATTTAACTGTATGCAGGCTTCTATCAGGGAATGAAGGCTTATACTGAACTCTGTCACTGATGCTGCTTGAGTGAAGATAACGCAAGAACAGTCACAGAAGTCAACATGGTGATTTTTGCATACTAAAAGACATTTCATCAGTAAAACAGTGAGAGAATAGTAAGAAAGTATTTCCAACTTAAAACTGCAGCGAACTGATGACACAGATTCAAACTTCCTGGCCTAAGGAACCAATCCTGTCAGCTTGTGGGAAAGGGCTCTCTTTGTCATTATTCTTCCTCAGAATCTGTTCATGGCTTGAACATGTATGGCTGAATTACTTACAGAGCCATGAGCTGGTGTGCTTGAGTTGCAGCGAGTGGGAGAGGAAAGGCTTCATTGATCTGCAAATTCAAGAGGAAGCAACGGTGTGGATCTACATCTAAGCCATTTTAAAGAATGATTATTTTCATGGGAAAAAATGGTATATATGTAATTTTGATACACAGAAAGGATTTTTTTGAAGCTAAATCAGTGACTGGAGGAGGCCTTTAATTAAAGTGTCTGATAACATTGTCAGGGGTGGTTGATACTGTAGGCCACTTTGGGCTGGCATTCAGATCCATCCGGCGTATACAGAACATCAATTGATATCAATGACAGACAGGTGAAGTTCTTTCTTTACTGACAATGTAGCACAAGTAAATGCATCTTAAATAAAATAACATTAAGCTACTGTTTTCTGTCCCTTTGTTACATAATTTGAAAATGTGTGCTTGTAAAGTAATTTTATATCAGCATCAGTGCAGCCAAACCTTATATCAGAACCAACATGTCTAACCAATAACAGAGGGCTATAGTCATCTAACCACATAGCTGCAAACATATTATTTGAATTTAAGAAATGCAGTCATACATAAGATCATACAGAATTTAACCAGGGATGTGTAGTGTTTATCTATTCAGAATAGTTATAATGAGGTTAGACTTAATCATATGGCATGCTGAGAGCAGCAGAATTTCACTGAACTAACAAGAGAGAGAGGGAGATGTCAGTCTTGAACTTGACCCCAGTCCTACAAAGAGGTCCAATCAGGCCTAATAAAAAGGAAAGCATGTGTGTGGGTGCACCATGGGTGTGTCGGGTTTTCTGCAGAAACTATGGATAGGATGTCAGTAATAGAGAAAAGGCAGTTTGATTTAAAAGGACAGGCAGAGGCGTTGGACTATTAAAAAATTTATGATGTCTTTTATTGGTTGGATTTACTGTAGAAACACAGCTTATGGTTGCCAAGTAAGATTTAAAACCCTATAATCAAATCAATTTTTGTATTATGGGATGTTGTCCTTATCTTGAAGCCTTGTAGGAAAATGGACTGACCTGAGTGACTCCCAGTAGTAGTATAAAAGAAATACAGCATGCCAACCCCGATGCAAGAGACGGAGAATTAAGAGTTTAAATCAAAACATAGATTGCACCAATTTTCACTGAGATTCTGTCTTCCTTCTGCAAACAAAGATTTATGAAAATAGAGTAATTTAGAAGCTGCTATAATCAAGTACAAGTCTATAGTTATGAGTTTAAGTCAAGCATGTATGTCAGTCAGTCAGTCAGAGATGGAAACCAGAGGGCTTCCTTCATAAAATCATGGCGAGCGGTCGCTCAGACTAGAACAAGTGTTGCAATGAAGAGAAGAATTACAGCATCCTCTTCAGCCAAGGCCAGAGTGAGGTTACGGTAAATATCTCTGTCAATGTCACTGTGTCATCTGCAACCACGTCAGTATGGTTATATTCCTCCCCGCTGCAGCCCCTCTCGACACCAGTTTTATGAGCTGTGCGCCCACATGTGACCTCTAATGGACAGGGTCTTGTGTTTGTCTCTGTGTGTGCCAGTGGCTGCGTGACTTGAAGGATAGAAACAGCGTAGCTGATTTCCCAGAAGTTTGTCA